TTACAAACCTGCTTCATGAGGCTGAGCAGCTGCATGGTCTTCTGTAAGTTCTCTATCATCTACTGTGAACAAGTTGTAGAAAGATATTATTTTACAATGGAACATACATGTGTTTTAAAAATTAACATTCTCAATAATTTAAGTAAACAAGATAGCCAATATAACATTGCACACCACATTTCTGAAACCACAATGAACAGTTTGCCTTTTGAAAAGCTGAAATTCTCAATTAAGCAATAATTTTATGAAATTCGAGGATGATATACTGCCCTTAGGTTGCCCACATCTATGTTACGGAATAGAACTGTATATGATAAGACTATAACGTGAAGAATTGCAAAAACAACTATGGAGTAAGGCAAGTGTTGTCCTATAGTTATGAACAGTTTCTGGAAATCAAAATATAGAAATAAACTGTGTACTGATACTCAAATCTTTCACGAATTTTTCTTGCTCCCTACAACCTGCAAAGATCACAACTCCCCATTCATTCCTCCTAGATACATAAATCCAGACATTTAAAATATTTAAAACATGTTAAGCCAACTTAAAATTTATCAACTTTGAGCTACATATTTTGCTATGTTGCTGGCATGTGTTATCTTAAGGGCATCTTGTCTAAAAATGCATGTACATCCTCCATTTATCCAAGTAACATGCAAACATATCTATATTATCTGGATACAACAGGATGCAGCTAGATTCAGACAACATAATTTCATGAACAGATGAAAAAGGCACACATAATCAGTTACAAAAAGTTAATCTTACACAAACTTGTACTACAACCTTGTTTCTCTCAATTAGTCTAGAAAGTGCTACAAAATCCTTTTACATACATAATCTTACACATTAAACTTCTTTGAAGTACATCACTTAAGTATTCACTTTATTCTAAAATTGCTCATATTATGAATTGTTAAAAAGTGTTCAGTGAAAAACTGCCTCAATTAAAGCTTTACATTTATTAATAATTTCACATGTATCATATTTCCCATCTCAGAGAATTTATCACAAATACCTGATTCAATATGTTCAGATTGTGAAGCTTCAGCTTTGTCTATTGAGGAGAAAAGAGTTATAGCAAAAAATTAAATCATATGCTTGGCTAGAGCAGCAACCGAATTAAAGAAAGGAAGAGATCCTGGAAATCTCAAGAACAACATTTCAATAGCAATTTCTCTCAAGGCTTCAGAGGGTGGCAATATCAATCTTGTCACTCTCACTTGGCACAGAAAACACAAAAAGGCATGAGACAGTGTGAAAAGGTACACATCTCCCACCATGATGCTACTTGTATAGTGGTCTGAGGAAGAATATTAAAAGAAATTATTGATTTGACTTCAGTGGTGTATGGGCCTTTATAACACTTCCCTGTTAACAGAGTTGCCATGATTTGGTATTTGGACAACTTCTCCCAGCAGTTTCATGCATTTGTTAAACAGTATGGGAAACAAAACAGAACCCTGAGGGAACCCAAAGGCCAAAACAAAGTAATTAGATTTCTACTAACATGGAGATAAGCTATGGGAAATTCTTCACCTGTTTAACACTGTATGTGTGGTGGCTGTTAATTTCATTGGAGTAGAAACAGGGGAAATAACCCATTATTAAATAAAAAGTTATTGGATTAGAGAACTTATTTTGGCAGTATAACGGTGATACAAAGAGACAAATGAAAAGAAAAGAATGCAGGTACAGGCTGAGTATTCCTTATCTGAAATGCCTGATACTAGAAGTATCTCAGAGTTGGGATTTTTTTTCAGATTTTGCAATGCATGTAGCATAGTATGTAACTGTAATTGTGAGACTGGAGAGAGACACAGCTGGAGGGAGATGTGAGCATATATGAAATGGCATGAATCCAAGTGTTGTGCTTGGCGGAATCTATACCTCCCACTATTTCATAGATCCTCACATGTCTATCCAGGATATTATCGCTCCAGCCTTGCAAATACCGTATTCGAGAGCGTATCGTAAAGTTTCAATTATCACTGTTAAAAAATTTTGACATAAAGTTTTTTATTTGTAGTTGTTAACTTAGCTCTACATAGTCACCAGATTTACACATTTTTCCCAGTGTTTCTTGACCCTCCGCATACCTGATATTGTTGAAGTTAGCAGATTGCGCCTTACAAGGGGGTATCGTAAAGTAATAATTATCACTTGGACGTTATTATGGTATATTGATGAAATTTTGTCAGTGTCATCATTGGTCACTAACTGCATGATGTTGAGAAAAATCAGCTCATTGTGTGCTTTATTTTTGTGACAGGTTGTGCCAGAAGTGACTAAATTGTAAAATTCTCATAAGGTGCAATCTGCAGACTTCTACAATAACAGAATTAGGAGAGTCAAGAAACACTGGGAAAAATGTGTAAATCTGGATGGTGACTATGTAGAGATAAGTTAACAACTACAAATCAAAACAAACTTTCTGTCATTTAAAGGTGATAATTAAAACTTTACAATATCCCCTCATAAGTACATACTATGCTACCTGAACAAAATCCAAAATATTCCAAAAATCAAAGCTTCAAATCATGTCAGCGCTCAAACAACTTTTGGATTTTGGAGCATTTAAGATTTCAGATTTCCAGATAAGGTATATTCAACCTGTATTAAAAGGCCACTATTAACTTGTTTACTATACATTCCAAATTGTAATCACATGGAATACGATTATGAATGAATGATAATTTCACTATGAGTTTGTGGAAAGTAACTAGGCAACATTTGGATATTGAACCTCTGGCACTAAAACATCTTTGTCCAGCCCTGCCTCATACCATGCATATGTCTCAACCAGTAAATAAGATGATTCTACGGGAACTACTTTGTCAATATTTTCTGCTAGTGTCAGTTTTACTGACTCAAAAACAGGAGATAACTAATTCTCTTTGTGTGCCAATAAAGAGAAAATGAAAATATGAATATGGGACATTTTCTACATTATTTGATTGCGTATTTGCTATTTCCAATAAATAGAAATGAACAGCTTTTTAAAAACTGACATTCATGTATTTGTCAGTTCTGTCTACTGGCTTTGCTATAATAAAATATATAATGAGAAACAAATCTCTTAGGTTTTGGAAAAACAAAGCTAAGAAAATCAAAAGAACACTTAAGTTATTTAGAAAAATGTGTTTTAATATGCAGTTGGGAGCACATAAGAAGAACCCTAAGGTGAAAAGTATTTTGTAATTTCCATCTATTCAGAAAATGCATCTGAGGACCGTGCATACATAGCAATATAGCTGTGTAAAAAGTATTGGAAGCTAGAAAGGGTCAGCCCAGGTTAGTACATGGATAGGAGACTACCTATGAATACCAGGTGCTGGGGGTTATGTTTCAGAGGAAGATAATGGCAAGCTACATCTGAGGGGGTAGCCATAAGTAGACATGTGACTTGGAGACACATTCACACACACAAAGTATGTAGATATAGATTATTACATGTGATACCTGTGCACATGTATTGATTCACTTTGTATAATCATAAGAATCATGATGTTCCAGTTTCCGAGGATGTGTATATAGTACACATCATGCAGCAAAAATATAACATTGATAATATACACATAAGATTCCATACTATTTCTGACATGACTGTGCTTTCTGTACAATATTTCACACATTTCCAGTGGACCCAAGAAGATAATACTGCAGCTGCTACTGAACAGAACATGCACATTCAATCTACTAGCAAGTAATCCAGTAACAAGCATACTTCTTTCTTATAGTTAAAATAAATACTGTATTTTCACCTTGTATATTTTCATAATGATGTTCAGTGAAAGGTTCTCTATCTGAAAAGAGAACATTGTAATTTAGTTTTTTAAAAAAACAGACAAAGAAAACAAGTCAGATCCCATGCCTATACAAATTAATGAAAACAGATTGATGCACTGTGCAGACAGGCTAGGAACACATGGACTTGGCCTGTGCAGCTTGGGGACCCAATACAATTGCGCGCTCCTTACCTTCCCCCTGCATCTCCGCTAGTGAACAGACCCCCGTCACCACATATGAAAACGAGGAGCCTAGCCACATGGGTACAGCCAGATGAGTAAGGACACATGGGGTGTCCAAATAGCCGGGGCTTGCCATGTTGTATCCCATTGGCAAACCAGGGGTCAAACTGACCTGCATTAAGGGCCTTTGACCCTGGGATCAGGCCAGACCCATCTAATCCATGTCTAGTCTGCCAGGATCTGGCCTATCCTGGCCCCAAGGCTTTAGCCTGCATTGTCTAACTGGACAACGCAAGCCCTGGGGGGAACGCAGGCTTTTTGACCTGTATGGACAGCCCCTGAATGTGTTAACAGGCATGTCTCACACAAAAGTATATCTGGAACTCATGATGTAGGGGAAAGAGGCTGGAGCGGATATAGTCTGTCTCACAGAAGTCAGTTTTTCCTGAACAAAACAAACACCACAACACCCAAGACTAGTTATTAGGATTCTGTTAGCATATTTATATGTAATACGTATATATGCAGCTAAATATTTAAAGTAGGGTAGGCCTTGGGGCCACATATCGTGCCAATGCTGTCTGCACGGGCTCTGACTTCCAGCAGACTGCTCTTTCTCTGATCAAAAAAGGTGACTTGCTTTTTTGGAAACATATAACAATGGCAGTTCAATAGCCCACCCTAGTAGTGCTGAATATTATAATAAAGTAATATAAAATAAAATCTGTTTTAAAAAAAAAAGTTGTTGTGCCCCTTCCCCCCCCACCAATTGTGGAGATTTGGGGGGGAGGGCAATCCATGTGCGCAGTAGATTATTTTTGGAGCCACAAAGTGTGGCCATCCTGCCTTAAGGAACACCTGCTACAGCATGTGCTATGCTTGTATTTATATTGTTTTAAACTGAAATGTTTTAATAGAATTTTTTGTTGTTGTGTGCCTGAATTAGGCAACCCTAAGGCAACCCCATCACAGAGTTTTCATGTCTGAGATGGTGTGATTCACCCAAGGTCAACCAGCAGGTTTCTATGGCAGAATGAGGAATTGAACTCCAATCTGAAGAGTCCTAGTCCTAAATGCTCAAACCACTACACCATGCTGACTCTCTTTAATAGGACAGTTTTGTTGTTATTGCTGTCTGCTTGTGGCCACCCTATGGCAAACTTATCATGGGATTTTCTTGGCAAGATTTGTTCAGAGGAAGTTTGCCATTGCCTTCCCCTGAGGCTAAGAGTGTGCGACTTGCCCAAGGCAACCCAGTAGGTTTCATGGCTGAGTGGGGATTTAAAAAACTTTTGTATAATTACCATTTTAGTAGTAGTTTTGTTTCTGTCTAGATTGTTAGTTGCCTTGGATACTATGTCAGGCAGGACATTAAAATAATCAGTCGGTCAAATCAAGGGAATCAATACTTATTTTGAAAGAAACAAGCTACTAATTTTACATTGTCTTTCCTGGAAAAAATAACCCCTTTCCTTGCTGTTTCTTTGGCTCAGGTGAAGGTAGATTTATTTTTTGCTCAGTATAAGCACTGAGGAACAGTAATGTAAACAATTAGTGCAATATATTTCATAGTAGATCATAATCAATTTACCTGTATCCTGAATCTCAATGGAGTCTTCATTTTCTAAGTCTAAAAATGCATAATTTTAAGTTTTAAGACTGGAGTGACACAATGGATATGAACAATAAAGAGAATCAACAAAATCATATTTAGATAAAAGCAAGTAAAAATACATGCTAAAAGCAGAAATATTTTTGTTAGTATACAACCATGCCATGTAAAGCTGTTGTCTTAAATTTTATGATGGTCTGTGACCATAATAAATTATTGATTGATTGTTGTCTTAAACTATTATAGTTGGCCCACAACCTAAAAAAAAGTAAGTGTGGTGACATGGTGGGTGCTAGAATGAGAAGAAAGATATACAAAGGTGGATGGCAGGGGATCAGGAAAGGCAAGGGAAGAAATCCAAGTATGTGTTAAGGTGGTCCCCATATCAGAAGGTAGGATATTAAATAAATAAATAACATGTATGGAAGAAGAATATTCCTGGACTCTAGTGATTATGCTGAAAAACAACGAGGATTCCTGAAATAATAGCCTGAGGCTTCCTTGAACACTTTTGCACAAGTAACATGACGTTTTTGATTGGGAAGATTTAGCAGGCTTGCATACTTTGTGCAGGGACACTTTAGACATGTGAATCAGATGAAGAATTGAGCACGAAAATAATATTTCAATTACTTACGACAAGCCCCACTGAGTACATCATAATAAATCTATTTATTTATGTGTCTTGCTATGGCATACAATACAATTTAATTTAGCCAAACATGCTTTGGATTGTACTGCAAGACAGTTAAGAGAAGCACTAAATTGTAAATATCAGAAGCAAAAGGTGAGTTGAATCTTCTCTCTGCAGCTACAAAGGAGACAATATAAAAACTGAGACAGAACTCATTTTTTTGTGATAACACTAAATCTAATAAGCAGGGATTAATATCTCACTTTTCAATATCAATTTTATTTTAGAGAAATGTAGAGTCAGAAATAATGCAGTTTGAGGCCACTTTAACCATCCTGGCTCAGTGCTAGGGAGTCATGGGAATTGTATTTTTTTCTGAGACATTGAGCCTTCTCTGTCAGAGAGCTCTGTTGCCACAATAAACTACAGTTCCCATGAGTCCCTAGCACTGAGCCAGAACAGTTAAAGTGGCCTCAAGCTCCATTACTTCTGGCAGTCTGTAAAGGCCTGTAGTCACTCAGCAAACTAACACCATATTCCAAATAGAAAGAAAAATATTCAGAAGAACTATTAAAATTGTCTTTTCAATAGTATTATGAGGAAGCTGTTCTCTCAATATCATTTTAACTAAGTTGACTTGGCTTTGCACATAGCAAAGCAAAAGCTCATCAACAATGAAAATGACTAAAACTGAATATTTTTGGCGATGAGCAAAGGACATTACCAGTAGTCATAACATAATTGCTTTTATGTGTCTGGTTTTCTGCACTTGAAGATATATCTAACAAAACTGACACACACATACCAAACTGTTACCCAAGTCTGCAGTGGTATACCATATATAGGAAGACTACACAAGTGGAAATGCTATTCCATTGCCAGTGTTGAAGTAAAATTCAAATATCAGTCCAGTCAACTTTTATAAACAGAGCTGAAGTGGAAAAGAAATCCTTAAACTCATGAAGGAAAATGTCTTCAGCCAGCTAACATGAGAATTACCATAGGAAAGCACTTATGAACAATTTTGTATGCATTTCAAGAGGTCATGGAAAGATATTTCAAACATTGGTTTTTGTGGGTTTTTTCGGGCTGTGAGGCTGTGTTCTAGAAGAATGTATTCCTGACATTTCGCCTGCATCTGGCTGGCATCTTCAGAGAATGGTGGCATGGAGGTGTGTGGGGTATATATACTGTGTATTTCAAACATTATTTTCAAATGTTACACCTGAATAATGAACAGTGACACATTGTTCCTAATCATTGTCATAATGTAGTGTTGCATAAAACATACCATGTTCATCCACATAGTCATGCTGCTCTGCATCCTCTGAAAAGGTTAGGCAAAAAAGCAGAATGTTAAGATACGTAACAAATTACTATTATCTACTCTTCCCTATAAGCCATATATTGCCACCTGTTACCTAGGAGGTAGATAAAGCAAGATGCATGGAAGACAAAGTTCAGTAAGTAGCTCATACCGCTAGATTAGAACGAAATAGCTTCACTTAGGGGGGTTGCAGACTGCAAATTGAGTCCACTTTTAGGGTTAGGGAATCATGGGAACTTATTGTGGTACCAGAGCTCTCTGACAGAAAAGGCTCAATGCCTCAGGGGGAAAAAAACAATTCCCATGATTCCCTAGCACTAACCCTAACCCTAAAAATGGACTCAATTTGCACTATTTCTGGCAGTCTGCAACCCCCTTAGCCTTGATCAAGCGTTGGAAATCTCAGACCCGAAGTTGAATGCAACCCTCTGGGATTCCTCAGATAACCATACCCCTTTTCCTATGGCACCAACATTCGGTGTCCAAACATTTATACCAATAGATAGATATATCTATCTATTGACAGTTTTCCAGCTTTTGTCATTTGGTGGTTCCTCAACTGTCACTAAATGTTTTCCCACCTTTTGTACTGTTTTGCCCCTATTCTAAAAGGTTAAAATGTCTCTTCTAAAGTTCAGCTACTGGCAGAAAGACTTTTATACTAAAATAGGCTGGTATTTTCATGGACTCTGCCCCACTTACTGCTAGAATGTGGCTCTGAGAACCCATATTTTGTAGTGATGGTGAGTGCCAAACAGCAAAGGTAAAGGTGGCTGGGGGAGGGATTATTCACACTGCATAAAAGCTAAAGTTGAGAACTAGCATGACACAATGGTTTGAGAATTGGATTATGACCCTGGAGACCAGGGTTTGAAATCCACTGGACAACCTTGGGTAAGTCAGTCTTTCAGCCTCAGAAGGCAAACCACCTCTGAACAAATTTTGCCAAGGAAACCTCATGATAGGTTCACCTTAAAGTCACCCTAAGTTGGAAATGACTTGCAGTCACACTACAACAAACAAGCTAAAATTATTGTTGCTTCATGAACATAGCTGATGGCTATTACCTGCTGCTCAGGTGCACTGCACCACCTAGGCTACAGTGGTGCCATCCCAGCTCTCAACCTTAATAAAGATGATAGCGACTAACTATGCCTGCCAATACATGCAAAGATTCTTCCTGTCTGTTACCACTGCATATATAGGTTAAGTATCTTATAACAGGAAATCTGAAATGCTCCAAAATTCAAAACTTTGTTCTTGGGTGGCTGAGATAGTTACACTTTTGCTTTATGAACGTGCAGTGTTGACAAACTTTGTTTCATGCACAAAATTATTAAAAATATTGTATGAAATACCTTGTACACATATTCAGGCTATGTGTACAAGGTATCTGTAAAACGTAAATGACCTTCATGTTCAGACTTAAGTCTAATATTTCAAAATTTGGAAAAATCTGAAATACTTCTGATACCAAGCATTTCAAATAAGGGATACTTAAACTGTACTAAATAAGTGCTTTAACCTCACCCCTACACAATTAATGGATGGAAAAATATTTATAAACTAAAGGCAACTCAGAAGCTATACCCTCCCATCAATCTGAAAAGCCTATCTGTATAGAGCCCATAGTAATGGCTTGGTAATACAGCACTTTCTCTTTCTCACACACATATACCTTATTTTCCTGCGTATAAGACTACTTTTTTACCTGCAAAATCTGTGGCTAAAGTGGGGGGGTCGTCTTATAAGCCGGATATAAGGATAATGAGGATAGAGGTGCTAAAACTCTGTATTTTGACTGGAAAATGGGGGGGTCGTCTTATACGCGGGTCGTCTTATATGCCGGAAAATACGATACATTTATTTTCAAGATCTATTCAGGGCCTGTTCAGTATTTTGCCCACTGCTATCTACTCACACTCCCCAGAAAGGATACCCCAAGCCACCAGGATCAGACTTTAAGAGAAGGATAACACTCCTAATAGACGTTTGAAATAAGTACCTACAGACACCTTCCCTTCAACATAAGCCCAAATATAAATTTGTGAAATGTCTATGCAACATTTGTAGATCATGTACTATGAATTTTTAAATTATGTAAATTTCTATATAAGGGATACTATAAAGATGTAAACTATATTAAGACTTCTCTACAATACCTATATTATGCTCCAGAGCATCTTCTAGAGTTAGTTCTGTTTCATCTATGAGAGAGATTGAGAGAGAGAAAATCACTATACTGTTATGTCAGAATCATGATGCAGGCAATTAACTTATTGCATGGGAGGGAGGAGGGGATCAAAACTGCACTAGCTCCTCCCTCCCCATACCTCCAGTCTGTGCACCAGATGTCATATTTGCATTTCAAATGAGCTCATGATGCTGAGGTTCAAGTCATGCAATTTGTACATTTCCACATTTGTGATCTACTGTGTATCTGACTTTTGGAATCCAAAATCAATGGGACAGACATGTCACAGAAGCATGGTGTACACCAATATGATTTCTTCTCCCTTGCATAGCA